TAAGTGAATCCATTCCCTTAAATAGGTGGTGGGGTTGTGTGTTTTTTGCCAGAAACTGACAACCTCCCCCCTCCCCAGAATACCACACAACTAGTGTTAAAGCTAACCAAACAAGTCACATGGTTTGGGTGGTGATGGTCTGATCATTTACAAAAGCCTGGGGTGTTTTACAGGTTGTAAAGCACCTGTTCCATATCCATCATAACTTTGAATGGTCGCAAAATGACCAGCCATAAGTTGAGAATTAGCTGTATGCTCTCATTATCTTTAAGATGGAAGGAAAAACAAGCAACAAACAGGTGTTGCCATAAGGATAAATGTCTAAAGACAATGAACTAAAGACAATAATATTCAAGTTACGAGAAAGGTAGCAATTTTGCTTTTAATCTTTAGGGATTTGCAAGATTTGATGCACTCAGCAAGCATTAAAATACCACTTAGAAACAGCAATGGAAATATTTTTACATAACGTGTATGTGAGTTATATATTTTAACAGGAATTTGCCTGCCAAGTCCGACATAATCTCATTTAATTTTGAAAGAGGAAATGAGAAGATTCATTGAAAGGAGGGTCAAGAGGTCAAATACCTTCAGGAAGTTTGACATTATTTAAATTCACAATAACAGAAGCTCAGATAAAATATCATACCCTAAGATAAAACAAGTTCAAGAGGGTGCCAGTATCTATAATGAGCACCATCTAGGAAACTATAGAAGACAAGTAGGTTTTCTTTGTCCAAAGAGAAAAATGAAAAGCAGAAACTTTAGCTAGTTGAAATTAAGATTAGCCAATGATAAGAAAAATGAGAAACAAGTTGCTACAAGTATTGAAATGAATAAAGTTCTTTGTATACATTAGAATGTGAAATACTTTGGACCCTGAATTCATTTGAAATTGGAAACTACTGTATCCAGGGAGAAGGTAAGACATGGAAATAATAAGTTATTAATGAAAACTGAAATTCTCGCATTAGTCTTTACTTGCGAAGTCTTGGATAGATAGTCACACTTTCCCTTTCAGATATGGTAACCCAAAATGTCCAATTATAGAAAGATATAAAATTCTGAGGTTAATAGTCTACTTAATAATTAATAAGCAACCGAGAATGGGAGCACAAACCTGAAATTCTGAAAGAGCTGAACTATAAAATTATTAATCTATTCACAGAAAAAACAACTTCATGCAATTGCTGCCTTATTAGAGGCAATAACAATAGCCAACAGAATACTTTTTAGAAATGGGTCTGGGAAAGTGAACAAATGCAGATGTGGAAATGTAACTTCAGATCAAGAAAGGAAAAAAAACAAAACAGAATTAAATGTAGAATAATTAACAATGCAGAAAAAAATAGTTGTATCCATAATAGTTGTATCCAGATGGTCCAAAACATTTTACATTTATAAGGCAAAGCAAAAATAGTTCTCCCTTTCAAAGATAGTGTTCATTTACTTGTAGCTGTCCAGCTTATTTTAGTCCTTAATGCAGAAAATTTCACAAACACTTGTCATTTTACATAAAAATATATCTATGGACAAGCATATTTTTATAATCAAACTCCTAAACATTTAATGCTGTTTCCTGTAACCTGAAAATTCTTGAGACTTCCCATTCTGCCTATCAATAGGGCTGGCCTTGATTCAGAGAAATTATATATTTGGGTTTTACAAAAGTTTTCATAGCATAAGGCTGGTCTTTTATGAACCGATAATTACTTAAAGACTGGAAGAAGAAATTAGGAATAAAATAGTAATTTTCACAGTGGCATGAACTATGATTTCTACTGGGATTAATTCTATTTAACATTTATAAATAAAGTCAAATTGAAAATAAACAGTAATATAAGGACTTTCTTTCCTAGTGATTTATAGCAGGGCTCATTCACTATTGTGGCGGTATGAAGTCTGTCTTCATTGCTGCTATATCACCTCAGTAATGGTTGGGTGAAACTGTAAATCACTAGTAAAGAAATGGCTTTGGACGCATTTGCAACAGAGTGACAACCCAGCCTGACTGTAAAGGTTCAAAAATAATTTTCCAAGCTAGGGTACTCCCTATAATTATGAAGTCAATAATTTTTAAAAAATAAATAAAAACAACAGGAATGTGCTGGCGTGTTTTTGAGTTCTATAATTAAATAGAAGAATTAGATAATAAACATTTCATCTGAAAACAGCCTTATCCTATTACCATTCTGAATGTTCCATTCATTTGGTCTGGAATGATGATTTACACTCTGACTCAACACTCAACACTCTGACTCAAAAAGGATTGTTTTTAAATGCATGCAGTACTGGGCTGCTTACCTGTTCCCCTTAACTCTTTTTAATCTGGAGTAAGTTATATTAAGAACAAGGGAGAAGATACAGACTAGGATGGGACAAAAATGTGTATCCCAAAAATTCATAGGCAGATAAAACTGAGACAATATCAGATTTTATTAACCCACAGAGGACAAAGAAATGTGAGGATTGAGCTTAAGTTTCAGAGGCGAAGTAAGTATGAAAAAACTATGAATTAAGCTTTCAAACAAAGTACCAGGAGCAAATTTCTATCCTACGGTAAATTATTTTGGGATCTCCTAAGCCTTTCCTAATTAGGCCTTTTTTGATAAAACTCAGCCCTTGCTGCTTTGGTTATAACTACCTGCCAAGTTAACATAAGATGCTGGTCCAGATCTTTCTAGCTGCTGAAATGGTTGTCAGGGATGTGATGCTGGAAAGAATGTGTTGAGAACGTTGTTTTGTTGATGAATAGCTAGTAGCGGGTATATCCTGTCTTCCTTAAGATACAGGCCCTTCCCAGGAACTTTCTTAATGTCTACTCAAGGTTGATCTGCTCACACAAATGTGCTTCCTTGAAAAGAAAAAAAAAATACAACAAAGATTTCAAATGGCAATGGATTAGTTTAAGCTATAAAAAGTGGCTGATTTATGGGGGAAGAATTGGTATCAGAAATAAAATTGGTGACTGAAATATATATTTTAGACAGAGGAATAGTGATAAAATTGCCAAACAGGTGAATCCTATTTATGTTTAACTAAAAGTGCAGCCAACTGTATTTAATTGCATTGTTTCTCTTATAAGCATTTCTAGAGTTGTAACAAAATATACTTTTTAATCTGGTTTTACTGTTTTCATAAGGTTACCAGATCTGCCTTGTATTTTTTTGTGGTCATCTGAATCCTTTGGTTTTTTTGCAGTCTCAAATCCGGTAACTCTATTTTATAGAACTGTAAATTCTGGATAAAACAATCATAGTAATCAACAGTTTGTTCTGTGAAACTTTCTGGCAATGGTCATAAGATGACTAGAAAGGATTTTCTAATTAGAGCAACGTGATGAATGGGTGTTAGATTATGTAGTTCTTCTTTGACCTTTTATCTTATTGTAAGTAGCAGAAAATAATCTAGAGTACCTTCTAGATGTATTCTAGCTGTCATGGACTTTAAGAGACCACATGAGCTGAAGTCCAGTGTATTTAGAAGGCAGCAGGTGTGAAAGGTTGCTTTAATGTTATATTTCATGGCATCCAGACCCAGGATCAACGTTCCACTGCATCATGCTACAGTCTGCCTGCTTCTTCTGAATGAAATAGAGTATAAATCATGAAAACCTCAAATATAAATGGCTGAGTATGTTGCTTAGGCATATTGGCCTTTATTCAGAGACCTGTGGCTACGCAGACCATAGCTAATAATTATGTGTGGGCCTACTGTCAGTATGGGTAGTTTCATTTGGGTAATTCCCTAGTTGTTGGGATTGCCTGTGGTTTTTTAGAGAGCTATATTGCTACACACAGATCCTTGAGTCACAGGAAAATATACTGGCTTTACATTGACTCTGCCCATTGCCAATCCCTTCTCTGCCTTTATGCTTTTCTTCCCAGTCACTGGTCATTTGTTCACCAATAACTCATAACATTTCCTAAAGTTATCCCACTATCACTGTGCCAAAATAACAGTAGTGAGGGCAGGCTTTTTATTGTTTCAGTGATGGCTGAGGATGCTGCAGAGACACTGTAATGTCACTATAGCCACTGTCAGTCTCATGATTTTGCTCCAAGGTACCGTGTAGCAATTGCTACACACCGGCTGAGCTGTTGGATGGTATTAGAATAAAGAGGGACATATTATATTGAATGGTACAGCTGAAGTCAACTTGGGCTCAGAATGAGGGAAATGCCATTGGGACAGAGCAGAAAAGAGATAATGCTAAGATTATGATTGTTTCATAGTTATTGGTAAGTGAGGATGCAGTCTGATTTCTAGGGCAGTGAGGTTGCTCAGGCATAGGAGCAAAACACAGTCACATCCTGTATGTCATGCCATCATTACACAAATAACAAGAATTGCATCATTTCTGTCCTTATGTGATGAAGTTATAGCGTACATGGCATCAATTATCCCTATCTTCTTTTTGCACAAAACGCATCTTTTTCACAATTCTATTTAAACTGGCTCCTCCTATTCGAGACAGTAGACAAAAAGTTGGTTTCATTCAGATCTTTATTTCTGGAATGCAAAGGTTAGGATTAAAGCACACAAGCCAACCACATTTTAGCTTACATGGGAATCCAGGCTAATAGTTTCTGATTTGGTCAGTGGTAAGGTTAATTTAATTAATTGGGTCTAAGTTAAATAAACATATATTGCAAACATAGCCATTTGACCCACTAGCTAATAAAAACTGAAATGAAGAATTGCCAATATTTTGTCTTTCCAGATTTTTCTCTGCCCTTAAGGCTGAACTGACAACAAGAAATCATTACTACAATGTAAGTAGGTTTACTTAGAGACAGTTCTTCTGCATTTCAATGAATGCCTTCCAGAGAAATGACCACACTTTCCTCAAACTTCAGATAATACTTTCATAGAGGAGATAAAGGGAAATATTTTTATTCCCCCTACTATTTTTAAAGGCAAAGTGAACATTAGGTTGGACAAGAGGCACAACCATGGCACCTGAAGTCCACACCAAAGGCTGGGTTTCTGGTTAAGATTGTCAGGGAAGAATTGCTCTGCTCCCCCTTATTAAAATGCATCAAAGTTAGGGATATGGAATGTGAGGGCTGTTCTAGGATAAATGATTTCCTTTAATGCAGGAGACTGAACCTAAAAAAGCAGTAACTTTGTTGGTCGATGAGGCGGAAAGGCCTCTCCCTTCCACAGGCTTAGGAGGCAATCTAGGCCCAGCCTGCAGAGAGGAGTGAAGGACGATCCCTTACATTATGTTTCAATGCGAGGTCTTTCCGGGTTAATGAGCTGACATCATGATTAAAGCTGACCATTTGTAATGTGTCTGGAGCCTGTTGAAAAGCACTGAAAAGGTTAATGTGGTAAAACAGGACAGCACCTGCCCCGCACGAGGAGGGGAGGAGCTGGGCCACAGTCCCTTGAATCAATTAGGCCCCTTAATGAGGCTCCCGCACAGCCAAGGAGTGAATGATCGCCCAGGCCCTCTGCCAGGGCTGCAGCTCACTCCCCCTAATTATTTGATAAGCACTTGATTCAATATGCCAGCCCTAACGTGGGGAGGGGACTGGGAGTTAATGAAAATGTCATGGGGAAGAATCTTGACATTTGTTTGTATTGATTGGGATTTTGCTTTTATCTCTCCTTATGTATTTTGAGCAGCCCCTTAAGAAAGCTCAGCTGAGAAAAAAGTGGGAACAGGGAGAACCAAAAGGAAAGAAGAACAGGAGTCCTTCTCTCATCCCTCCCACCTTCCTTCTTGTCCAGGCTTCTTCCATCCCTGTGATTTGGGATGAAGAGAATGGAGCTGAGTTAGAATGGAGGACATACACTTACTGGTAAATGAATGCAGAACCGTACCTTTGGCCTGGCATTCTTTGCTTCTTTATTGTAACCACTTTGTAGTTTGAACTGAGCCTCTTTCCTTCACTGACGGCTCCCTAATATTCTGTTATCCCTGGCAATCCATGCAGTAACCAAGAGATTCTGCAAGTCCTGGGCCTCAGCTCCACTTGGAAATCACTGGGATGCTGCAAGGCCACTTTCTGTGAGAGAAAGAATGGCAGGAATGACTAGGATCCTCCGTATCCTTTTTCTCTCAGCACTGCATGCAAATGGGCTGGCTGAGCACAATAAGCATCCTGCAGTTGCCAGAGAGTCACTGAGCCTTTAGCCCAGGTTCAGAGTTCAGAACTGATCCCAGGAACTTCCAACAGCTTCAGGGACTGAAGTCTGGATTGTAATGGTTTGGAACTGGTTTAAAAATTGCAGAAGGGGAAAACACATCCTTGGAATTGAGAGAGGAAGGATGCCCTAAGGCCTAAGCCATAGATCCATTCTACCTCAAGAGATGTGGGGTACTCCCAATACTGAAAGCAAATGCTTTAGTTGAGAGTTGCACTTGATAACCTAGTAATAGGAGCATTTAGGTATCATCCTACTTTATTATGGGATCTAAGCTACTTTTGAGCTCTGCATGAGTCATTACCATCAGAATAAGCAGTACTTTTTATAACCCTTTTGAAGATTGTAAGGGGACACATTGCCCATCAGCCTTTAACATATTGTGTCTGACTGCAGGGGAATTCTAGTCCTGTCCTCACTCCAGACCATCAAATAGCTTTTTTCAAATCTAGAGATCTTCAAAAGAATTGGGCTAAATCTAGGGATCTACAAAAGGGCTGGAATCCAATGGAACTGCATTACGAAGTCCTTGGTGCTCTCTGCATTGGTTGTTTGCTTGCAGCCAGGTAACATTTTCAGTACTAGAAAGGAATGGGATGCACTCTCTGTTTATAAACAGAGTTTGTTTTCAGGTTTGCTCTCTGTACAAACAGAGAACACATCCCACTTCCTTTTAGCACTTGATAATGTGACTTGTTTACTTGCAGATTTTTTAAGCTATCCAACTAACCAATATTCCCCAGTTCTACCAAGGATTCCATATATATATATATATATATATATATATATATATATATATATATATATGGGAATTCACAACTGGCTGGAACCTTATGTTTTATTGTTTTGATTCATGCTGCAGTCTAGAATAGGTACCATAGAAAAGTCATTTACCTTTAGGCTTCTCTGTCAGGCAGTATAAGAATAGGTGCATCTACAGATCTATTCAAGATTTGTGAACTCCAGCGGATAAATCTCAAAGAGGTTAACATTACCTGTATCCGACTGAAGCTTAAAACAATCAAGTCTTTTAGCCTTTACAATTTAAATTGCACCATTCTGTGATACAAGATGCAATTTCTAAGGCGATTTCAATGTCAAAGCTGTATAGTTTGCTTCATTTTTGTACTGGAAAGTTCTCCAACAGCACTTTCAAGCAACGATTCCCACACCCACAAGGAGACCGTGAAGAAACAAGAATTAGGCATCAACCAGCTTTTATTTCCGTGAAGAAACAAGAATTAGGCATCAACCAGCTTTTATTTCCAGGCGTATAAAATCAAAGTCAAGCATCTTTATTTTCTATCCATCCTTGACTATAGCCTTTGGTAATGGAAATAAGCAGTCTAATAATACTGAGCATGCTCAATAGCCATGAGTTGTTGAATTAGTAGAAAGAAAAGTGTTCACAAGAAAATGTTCGGAGGTGGAATAGAATGGAATGGTTCCTTGAGAACTGCTTGGCCGATCATCTGAAACTAGGAATAAAAGAATTAGATTTGGGCTTTTGGGGGGTTAGGAACAGATTGAAACTTTTTTTTTTTTTTTTTTTGGCAAAGGCTGCCTTTTCCTTGGGTTTTACTTTTCAGGGCAAATCTCAGGCTTCTTAGTCAGCAATCCATCTAAATTTGTTGGACTGAAGCTCCCACCACCATGGCTGATAAGATCTGTCATACCAGTTGGGGAAAACTGATCCACACTATCCAAAGAATTAGAATTAGGGGGAAATGATTTGGATATGTCTCTGACTGCTGTTAGAAATCAACCACCCCTTTGCTCTGCAAATGTTATGGGAAAACATAATGACCCTTTTGTTGCTTTTGAATGCAATCCTAAATTGCATTAACAGAGGGATAGAATCAAGATCACATAAAGTATTAGTACCACTTCATAAAGCCTTGGTAAGGCCCCATTTAGAATACTGCATCCAGTTTTGGTTATCACATTATTTAAAAAAATGTAGAAACTCTGGAAAGAGGGCAAAAGGGAGCAAGAAAGATGGTTAGGGGGCTGGAGGAAAAACATACGAAGAACATTTGCGGGAGTTGGGTTTGACTAGTGTAGTGAAAAGGAGGGCTAAGGGTGACATGATAGCAGTGTTCCAATATTTGAGGGGCTGCCACAAAGAAGAGGAGGGTCAACCTATTTTCCAAAGCAGAAGGCAAGACAAGAAACAATGGATGGAAACTAATTCAGGAGAGAAGCAATCTAGAACTAAGGAGCAACTTCCTAACAGTGAGAACACTTAACCAGGGTTGTGGAGGCTCAATCACTGAGGCTTTTAAGAAGATTGAACAGCCGCTTATCTGGAATGGTATAGAGTCCCCTGCTTGTGCAAGGGGTTGGGCTAGAAGACCACCAAGGTCTCTTCCAACGTTGTTATTCTTTTATTGCTGATCACATGGTTCTGCTGAAGTTGTATTTCGCCAAGTCATGTTAATCAGATACTTATTCCATGTGTGTGTGTGTGTGTGTGTGTGTGTTTGTGTATAAAATCTCCAATGTTATATAGGTCAACAAGCACATCTGGTACCATTGATTTATTATGCTATCAGGTACCAGTCTCATAATGCTTCTTCATCACTACGTCTGTTTACCCAGGTAGGCATCTTCTGCTACTCCTCCCTTACTCTCTAGCGAAAAGTTGCTGAAAAGTTTCAGAAATCAAGATTGCTCCTTTCTATCTCCTTCCCTCCCTCTTTCCCTCCCTCCCAATTTGACCGCGATCAAAGACGTACAAATCCGGAGGAGGAAGCGGAGCGATTGTATTACAAGCCTCGGAAAGAAGGTGTGTCAGTTTGAGTAGAAAGGCCATATAATTGCTTATTCTTAGATGGTCCTGATAATTATCGTCATCCTGAACCCATCGGGAAAGATTACGTCCCACGGGGAAGGTTAGAACTGGATCTGTCAGAGTTGGAGAAGAGAAGATAATTTCTCAGTTTGGGTTGCCAGCTAAGCCCCCCCCCCTCCCCACCGCCCCCGCTCCCCGATGCGTGCTCCTTGCCTAGGCATCTTGGCGCCAGTCAACTTGAATGCGCCTGCAATCGCCTGCAATCTCCCATCCGTGGAAAAGCAGTGTCTTTGCCTGGCTCCCCCGTCCCTCCCTTGGCTCCCGAGGGACGGAGATGAGTGACGATCCCCTGCGCTTGAGGGTTTAACAGCGAGGTTCAAACGTTGACTTTCATTCGCCGCTGAAATCGTCGCGCTCCAGCCCCCACCCCGTCAGTTTTCAACTGACCTTTTAGGAGTCGTGGGGGAAACATTTTATTGCTACAATGCTATCTTGGTTAAAACACTCGTATTATAAGCTCTTCTCTTCTCTTCTCTTCTCTCTTCCTTTGTTTAAATTCTTGCAATTCTGTTGCAATTCTATTCTAGTCTGGAAATGAATTCAGAGTAATTAAACAAGAGGCGCGAAGTGTGAGAACATTTCTCTGATCAAAATGAAAGTATTTTTTTTTTAAAATTATCTCTGTGATGAAATGCAAGACGTCCCTGAATAGTTTCTTGAATCATCCGTATGCTACATTTATCTGGAAGTAAGCTTCCCTGGCGAGGGCTTATTCGTGAGCAAGTGTGCTTCAGAGAGCAACCTCTGAGCTCTAGAAAACACCTGATAGATGGGACCAAATAAACCCTGGTTCTCGTTTACGGGAACCAAAATCCCCGCGCTGCGAAGCAAACTGATCGTTCCAAAGTCTCGTTCCCATCTTTTAAACCATCGCATTCAGGCCACGTAGATTCACTTAGATTCTATCCTAAATGGGTGCAGGCGCTGGAAAAGAAGGGGACCCGTCAAAGGAGTTCTTTTTTACCGACACATGCTCCATGTGCGAGAGAGAGAGAAAGAGAGAGAGAGAGAGAGAGAGAGAGGGAGGGAGGGAGGGAGAGAGAGAGAGAGAGAGAGGGAGGGAGGGAGAGAGAGAGAGAGGGAGGGGGGAAGAGAGAGAGAGAGGGGGAGAGAGAGAGAGAGAGAGAGGGAGGGGGGGGAGAGAGAGGGAGGGAGGGGGAGAGAGAGGAGGGAGAGAGAGAGAGAGAGAGAGAGAGAGAGAGAGAGAGAGAGAGAGAGAGAGAGAGAGAGAGAAAACGCTCCGCATCGCTTCTATTGGGCTGGTTTAAATGAGAAGGTGAGATCGGTGTTCTGCAGTCAGCTGTCTGTCTATGATCTAGAATTTTGAAACTTTCCGGGGCCGCTTGGCGGCTCGTGATTGGCCAAGGCGGAGGTAACCTCCATGCAAATGAAGCCCCGCCACCTCGCCGTCCGTAGATCAATAGAGATCTGAGAGAGAAAGGAGCATGCATTCAGACTTGGCAAGCTCAAGGAAAGCCTGCCGAGGCACGCCAAAAAGACCCCCGAACCGGTCTCCCCAAAGCCAGGGCAGGCAGATCGGCCCCTCCGGCAGCTCCCTGCGCCCAGACGTGAGCCCGGCTCCCCAGCGCGCCCCTAACGCGAGCGGTGCCCTTCTCCTCTTTCTTATGAGCCCAGGATGAGCAACAAAGAAGATGCCGGCAAGGGTTGTCCTGCGGCAGCTCCGGTCTCCAGTTTTACCATCCAGTCGATCTTAGGCAGCGGCACCTCAGAGGGAGGCAGAGAGCCCAGCTCCAAGCAGACCGCCTCCGCCTGGCCGAGCAGGAAGAGGAGCCTGTCGGTCTCTTCCGAAGAAGAAGAGCCGGACGAGGGCTGGAAACATCCCGCTTGCTTCTGCTCCGACTCGCAGGCCCCTGAAGAAACGTGTCACAAACATCAGCCCCTCAGTTTCACGTGTCTCAGTAAGTATTGGCCCGGGGTGGCGGAGGAGGGGCGGGGGGGGGACAGAGAAGCACCCATCACTTCCTAATTAGGAAGGATGATCTCTAGGTGTATCTTATTTATCAAGGCGGGGGGGGGGTGTAATACAAAAGCTCAGCCTGTTGTGGTTCTTTTTTTTCCTTTTTTTTTAAACTTTGGGTGTACAGTTCTCCACAAATCTGGTTTTCTAATCTGTTTACTCTTCAGAGAAGGCGGTGGGATTAAATTAAGAGATCTGGGGTGGAAGGGAGAATGCAGTTTTGGGTCATCTCTCTCTGTGGAGACAATGCCTTCGTCGTGATTATTTCAATAATTGACTTTGGTGTCTCCTCCCTCTTTCAAAGAACGATTTAGGAAGAGCGATTTTTAAAAATATGTATATATATACTGTATGTAATCTTGCCGCCCCCATCTTTTCTGATCTATACGTTTGGATCTTCTGCCATCTCCTAAAATAAGGGAGCGAAGAGCCTTATATATTCGGAGCTCATTCGTAGGCTCTTCGCTCCCTTATAGATGTATAAATATTTAAGGGGTGCAGTTTTTAAAAATCAACACAACCGGCCCCCGTGATTCCTTGGGAAAAGGAGAGTCTGACTAAATTGCACTCGATTCCTTTTGTTCGCTTCTCCGAGCTCTGCAGCACGGAAGGTGGGTAATCACTGACCACAGCCCAGCGCAACGCAGACGCAGCGGGGAGCAAACCCCAGCAACGCGGTGGGACTTCCTGCCGAGAAATCACGCCCGGGGAGAAGGCTTGCGCGGTCTAGAAAGTTAGAAACGAATGTAAACAGGATGCGGCAACTGAGAGGCTTAGGGCTGCATTTGATTCAGATCAGCTTCACGGAAGAGCTACAAATAGGATCTGTACACAACCACGAAGAGATGGAGAGGGGAGACCAATGCGTTCATTCCCCCTCCTCTGCGGTGGCTGGATAGGTAGATAGGTAGGTAGGTGGGTGGGTGGGTGGATAGATGATAGATAGATGATAGATAGATAGATAGATAGATAGATAGATAGATAGATGGATGGATGGATGGATGGATGGATGGATGGATGGATGGATGGATGGATAGAATACCACAATATTTGTAAGGGCCCAGCGCTTTACTCCCAAAGTAGATTATTTGGGCTGGGCTATGATGGATTTCCTTTCTCCCCCGCCCAGGACAAATCGAAATAGCCACCTTCTGCTCCATTTTACCTCCATTCTTCCTCTCTTCCCTTTACTCAAGGCAATTCCAAAGGGACCGGCGCGGCGCTCGGTTCCGACCGTCGGACGCCGCCTTTCCTCTCTCCGTCCCAGCCGGATTTTAAGGAAGAGAAAGAGAAGCCGTTCGCTCCCAATTCGCCCGCCTGCTCGGCGGACCGGCCAAGGGACGGGGCGGACCGGCAGGCCGGTTCGGCCAAGAAGAAGACGCGCACGGTCTTCTCGCGGAGCCAGGTGTACCAGCTGGAGTCGACCTTCGACATGAAGCGCTACCTGAGCAGCTCCGAGCGGGCCTGCCTGGCCTCCAGCTTGCAACTGACAGAGACCCAAGTGAAAACCTGGTTTCAGAACCGGCGGAACAAATGGAAGCGGCAGCTCTCGGCGGAACTGGAGGCGGCCAACATGGCCCACGCCTCGGCCCAGACTCTGGTGGGGATGCCGCTGGTTTTCAGAGACAATTCCCTCCTGAGGGTGCCCGTGCCCAGGTCCATCGCCTTCCCGGCCCCCTTGTACTACCCCGGCAGCAACCTGTCTGCCTTGCCGCTTTACAACCTCTACAATAAGCTCGATTACTGAGACGGACTCAGACGACCTTCCTGCACCCGAGCCAGGACGCGCGGCCTGCTGCGCCCTTTTCTTCACCCATCCGTCTGTTGTCGATCGGAAAGGAGAACTGTGCTTTTTGCATTGTTAAGAAATACACCATGTGTATTCATTGCTCTTATATTATATTATATATACATATATATATATATATATTTAAAATATTTATGGGAATCCTCTTTGGGGTGGTTTCTTTCGGTTGTTTTCTAGGCTGGAGAAAGAATTAGACGGCTTCCGCCTTCTCTTGCTGGGTCTCGTTTTCTGTGCCAGACGCACCTTAAACCAGCTGTTGCTGCTGCTGGGGGGGGGCTCCTCTTTCAAACCAAAACGGGGGTCGTCTTCGTGCCTCGGTGGGCCGTTCTCGAGGTTCTTCCCGTTCTTCCACTTCAACCCCCCCCCAGCATTAATTATATCTGCGCGAGGGGGGGGAAGCAAAACAAAGGGAGTGGGGGCGCAAGAGAGGCGTACTTCAGACCTGTACATAATTTTTAAAGAAAATAAAAGACATTTTAAAGCGTCGTTGGCTAACTTGGGTTAGATTGCTCGTGACGTCTCCTGCTTGGCTTTCTCTGGCAAAGCATTTTGAAATTGAGCGGTTTACCGAGATTCCAGCAGCTTCGGCTGGAAGTGTAAAGTTTTAACGCTCAGGGGGAAAAGTTTCCTCTGAGCATAAAGGACTTTTCTCTCTTTTTTGGGGGGGGGCAGAGGGAGAAGAAGATAGGGAGGGCAATCGGGGAATTTTGAGTAGTCTTTGAGTAGGGTTCTAAAAGTCCCGCAGCATTACTTGGAAATCAATAGTAGGCGGAGCATTGATCAAAACAAAGGTGAAATATTAGTTATTTCGAAATTCACATGGCCTACAACACAGCTTCCATAGACCCAGGTGAGGATGGAGGGGAACAATGAAAGGAAATTTGCCTCTTTCAGATTTCCCAGGGCGCAGTATTTCATTATTTGGATCAACGAGTCTGTCTTTTTGGAAGGGAGTATCTCTGAGCTCAGCGACACACAGGTTACTCTTACAAAGTGTACTGGCTATGTCTAAGAAGTCTTACTTCTGAGTAGACATCCCCATGACCAAATTGTTAGAATCCTTTCTCACAATACTGTATGCTCTCTCGATGGTTAAGATTTGATATTTCACAATTAGGCATTTTGGCTGGATTACGAGAGGTAAAGTGCTCCTCTTAAAAAACAACAACAACCTGTTTACATTTTGTGATTCAAGCTCCCTGGTGGATTTAATTAAGTTTAGGAGTTTTGCTTCTAACCATTTGGGCTGCATGCTCAGTTCATCAGTCCTTCTTGATTTTTAAATCCCCCCAATCTATTTCTTCCAAAGAGAATTCATTTGAAACTGGGTCTTCTTTATTTAGGTGGTTTTCTTTTTCTTTTCTTTCTTTTTCTTTCCGTCTCAGGTTAATGTCTTGATTTAGAGAATTTAGAATCCACGTCAGAGTTTAGAGAATTTATCATTTAAGCAACTTAAGAGCAACTTAACTTAGAGAATTCTGACGTGGATCATTTTCTGGGGGAAAAAATATCTCAGAGCGGTGTAGATGTTGGACTATTATAAGCCGTTCAGTTGGAAGAGCTACCCTTTGAAATCAATAGGATGAACAGTTAAAGGTGACAGTTGATTTGAATGACTTTTAACCACCTTTGGATGGCTTAAACGTGCTACGTGTTTTTCAGCCTGTCTATTGAGATTCACGATAGCATCTACGTCCATTTCTGTGTCCCCTTATATAACCCCAGACGAAACTCTTGCTCATTTTCGATTACTATTAACAGCTGTGACCCCAGTGAAAGGTCCAGGAAATTTTCCATTGATAAATAGTAGAGGCGCAGATTTCAGCCGCCCCTGGATTAAAGCGGTTCCTGCTTTTCTTGATTTGAAGGAAGGCAGCGGCGGGAGGTGTGTGTGTGTGTGCATCTTCTCTATTAAGTGATCCGAATTGACAAGTGTTTCCGGAAATGGGCTTTCTTCAGAATTTGAGGCGCATTCTGTTCAATGCCACGATCTCAGGTAAAGTACTTTCACCAGGCCTTTTAAAACAGAAAGTGACATTATAGCCCACCCGTGATTGATCTGAGCGTTCACCCAAGCGCTGAAAAACACCTGCAGCCTCGGAGCTGCCGAAAGAAGCCCGCTAATCGTTTAAACAAAAAGTAAATGGTTCATCAAGTGTTATTTAAATCGCAGGAGTCGTTACGTGGTTAGTGCAGCCACCTGTTCCTTGGTTGGTTTCGGATCTTAATAGGGAAGGCTGTTTAAAATGCAGGAAGTATCTCCGCTCTATCGAAAATTACCCTCACGATATTTTTTAAAAAGGAGGTGGGGGATTAGAGCTTCCACATCCTCAATGGGATATGCATGTTTGGGAAAATTAATTTTTTAAAAAGTCGGAATCCAAACTCTTTGCTCAAATAAATAAAACATGCTAGTGAGATGCTCCATGTTAAACCCATGCATTTTTTCACCCCCAACAAATGGTAAATACTAGCTAGTGGATTAGCTCTAATTCTAGGTTTTCCAGGACTAACAAAAACATAAAATAAAAACTTATTCATTTAGAGCCTGGGAAATGTATTTTTCAGCCTCAGGCTATATTCAGTAGATATATGGGAAATATTGCTAAAATGTTTGCTTTGGGGTCACGTTTGAGGATAATTAAATACATAACTCCTAAGACTTCCGAATGAATTCGTTTAGGCTTCCCCCACCCCCAGAAAAAGGATGTCCTACCCATAGAATGGCTATTGATCTTGTGAAAATAACTTGCTTCCAATATGTGTGCTTAGTTCTAGGGTCTTAATATTGACCCTCCTCCGATTTCAGTTTTTAAAATAAAGGAATAGTGTATTTATTTACTCAGATGTCCATCCCTAATCATTATCTAAAACAGATGCCTCAAAGTGGAGTTTTTATATAAATTTATTGCATGTGTCATATTTTAAAGTGCCTTCCCCTTTACTCACAATACATATATTCTTTCTATCCCGCGAATAAAGACACGAATTCTTGAATAGCAGCAGGATGTCTGTATATACATCCGGTCCAGATCAATAACCTTCAGGAGCGAACCGTCTAAATCAAAACAAATATTGTTTCAGGTAAGGCAAAGGGCTCATCTCTTGTTGCAACATCACATCGCGGATTAATCCCTCGCACATTAAAAATCTGGGATCTGGATTGTGCTGGGTAGACCGGCAGTGATGAAGAATTAAACACTTTGGACCTAAAGCTTTTATGGAAATGACCAAAAGTTAAAGAAAGTAGGAAAAAACATGACCACTCGCTTTGAATCGGTGACAAAGCCAGACTTGGGAGGAAGAATTATATAACTTTCTTTGTAGATGATGGATTTTTTCCCCATTAAACCGTCTTTATAATTAATCTGTCTGTAAATGTGAAGTGGCCTGACTCATCCACAATCACTAAGGCTCACTGAGCTGCCTTCTTTCCAAGTGGAAAACTTTTTCCAAGTTTTTAAATCAATTAGGATGGGAAAAACAATTTGAAGAAGCGCCTTTCTCGACATAGGGTATGAGACTTCTATTAATGAGTAATTGATTCTCTTTAATTAGGGAACCGTTGGCTAAGCCTCAAAACAAGTCAGGATTTTTTTTTAAAAAAGCTACCTTTTTATTATCAACGATAATAAATTTATTTTTGTCAATGATAGTTTCACGTGGAGAAAAATGTGAAAATTCGGAGAAACTGAAGTAGCTCATATATGGTTTATTAAGAATCCATGCGTTAACAACAGAAAAGAGGCATTAAAAAGAGTCTTCTTTGGAAGGCAAATTGACATGCATGTGTATTAAAGGCCAAGGAGATGGGGGGAAAAAAGTAAGATTTGCTTTGAAAAAATGTAATAGGAAACATGAATTTCTCGCAGCAAAGTCTGTGTGCCACTCTGTTATTTTCTTCTGTGTTGGAAGAGGTATACTGTAGGCTTTGCTGGAAATGCTGGGCTTCTCAAGGCGAAAGGTGGCTTTCAATGTGTATTTTGTAGGAAGAATAAAACTGGCTTTATTTGCCCATGAATTTTTAAACGACCGGATGGCAACGGGAAAAGTCTACTCGTTCTTTTGAACGGAATTCTTACTAAAATCTAGAACTAGAACCTCTGATCACAAGTGGGGGAAGGGGGTGTTAGATCATGCAGAAATACTACTTTATATGAAATCTTCGCTTCCTAGTGGGAGCTTCCTGATTAACGTGTGTTTTATCTCCTAGCTCTTGGTTAAAGAAGTTTTATATTGGGGCTTCCCTTCGTTTTTCCAGGATCTGCTGAGGGACAGCAAAGCCTCCGGATTAAGGAGGTTTGCAATCATTGCTCCCCTTTTATGCGTATGCCAAATAGGTAGATAGATGAGTGCACATTGATTTGGTTTGGGGTACCGGCTTTCGGACTGAAAACCTCGCAGCCAACAGACACATAGCTTCTCTTTACTGCCGCCTAGCGATCACTCGGATCTTTGCAGTTAGATGTGCCAGCCACAACTTAAATTTTAAAACGGCATTCGGGTCTAAAGTTGAAGTCCAAAGAACGCCCCGGTGAAGGGGGGAGGAAACACCCACAAACTTAAATCTGTAGTTTCTAACAAGTTCTCCCTCAGCTGCTTTTGTTCCGATTCTGACTGCGCCGCGTGAAACCAAAATCTGGAAACGAGGTAACTGACGTTGAAGGGAAACGCCCATTTTCCCCGACTTGAAAAGCAAAGGCGACCAACGAGAAACTGGAGCGCATTGCATGCCGGACGTTGTAGTCTTAGCTTCACGGAGCGTGCTAGTCTCCCCGTGCGTACCGCTGAGTTATTCAAACCAGCCAATCCCGCTCAGGGAGCTGGTTTGTCGGCGCTGAGGCTGCTGGGAGAATCGGGCCGGTGAATTTGCGCGCGCGCGCGTGTACTCTACGTCCGTTGAGCGGAAGAGTGGGGGCGCGGGAGGCGTCCCTCGTTGTAACGCTGGAGGACAAGGTAAGGCGGGGGCTCGCGGTGGGGTAGAGGCTTCCCTACCGGCATTAGTCCTTCAAATCGAGAGCGTTCCATGAAAACCGGAAGTAGGCCTTTTGATCCATCCCCACGTTATTACAGTTGAGGGCCCCTTCCTTCCTTCCTTCCTTCACTCACTCACTCACTCACTGCAGTTGAGGGCCCCTGCTCCCTTCCCTTCTTTTTCTCGATCCTCGTTACTGGAGTTGAGGCCCGTCCCTTCCCACATTTTTGGAGTTGAGGGCCCCGGTTTCTCTCCTCCCCTGTCTCCCTCGCTTTTCTCTTTAAGGCTTCCTAAGTCAGGGAAGTCTTTAGCCTTTTTCCAAGTAAGCATGCATAGTATCCTACCGGCTGACTTTCTCCTATGGGAAGGTAGGAAGGCCACTCACACAGGTCATTGGCATCCTGAGGTGGATCATGGGCAGTCTGATAAACGAGAAAGGTGTACAGGTAGTCCTCAATTTACAACAGTTCATTTAGTGACCGTTTGAAGTTACAGTGGCATTGAAAAAAGTGACGACCGTTTTTCACACTTGTGACTGCTGCAGCCTCCTCGTGGTCACGTGATTTGGATATTTGACAACTGGTTCATCATTTATGATGGCTGCAGTGTCCTGAGGTCATGGCATCAGCTTTTGCGATCTTCAGTCAAGCAAAGTCAATGGGGAAGCCAGGTTCACTTAACAACTGTGTTATTAACTTAACCACAGTGATTCATTTAACAAATGTAGCAAGAAAAGTTAAAAAAAAAAAAAAATGGAGCAAAACTCACTTAACAAATTTCTCATTGAAAAACATAAATGAGGACTACCTGTATCTAAAGCAGCCATTCTGATTGGTAATTGTAATAAAGGTTTCATGCCACGGCAGATTTTTTTCATCTGGAGCCCTTTAGAAATTTTAGGGCCACAACTTCCAGAATCTTCATATTAGGAAAAAGTTGATTCAGAGTGATAAAAGACAGAATGAGTTTTAGAAGAAAGGATACTGAATTTGAAGTTGAAGAGGTGAAGGGCTACTAGAGCGTGTTGTAAACATTTGGACAATGTCTTGATGGCAGCCAGGTATTAAGACTTTGCTGTCATTTACAAAAACCTGCAGCCAGGTTTTTATAGGCCAGTAATATCACTACTAAAAGTATGAAAGATAAGAGCTCCTGCTTTGCACGTGCATTTTTTATTTTTTGAAAAATTAAAGCCCCATTCTGTTTATCTTAACTTTGTTATGTGATTTTCTATTTCTTTTCCCCTTTCAATTCTTTTTATTTTAAGAGCATTAGTGGTATGTCTAGTGGAGTCAATTAGATCTAGTGGCTTACTAGACTAGAAACTGAGAGACTGAGTTCTAGTTCAATTTTAGTCATGAAAGCCAGCTGGGTGACCTTGGGTCAGCCATACACGTAAGGAAGTCTGCTGGTTTGAAAAGTAATCCAGGTTAACTGCATTTCCATCTCTGACTGACAATATTAACAATGGACTGCTTTGCAGGTTTGTTGCAAGCTGCAAAATAGCATTTCAGATACTATTATTAGAGAGAATGCTTCTCATAAATTTTATGTGTACAATGGACTGTTTTTATATACGTTTTTTTTAATTTCAATGTTTGCTTTTTTAGTAATTAATACACTTTTTAGTAATACAAGATAAATAATGATGATCAATGCATTTGAAAACTGCTTTTTGGCTAGAATGTTTTTTCTTTTTTTAGTTTAAATCAATTACAACATAGTTTTTACAGAATATAAATGCCACAAATATACCAGTAGAAGAGAATATATGTACCTCAGCATTGAACTGTGTGAAGTCCTTGATGCTCTCTGAGCCTTGCTGTTTGCTTGTAATCATTTCATTTTCAACTAGGTAATAGTTGAATTAATAACTACATAATAACTACACCGCTTAGAGAGTGCTTGCACTTAAAGCGGTATATAAGTCTCATAAATAAATAAATAAATAAACATCAGTGTAATATATTACCAGTGGCATGCATATCAGTGTCACTGATAATGTTACCTAGTTGGGTGATGAAATGTCTGCAAGCAAATAACCAACCTCAGGGAGCACCAATGACTCAACTGCCACAAATGCTCATAATGTAAAATTACACCCATAAAAATTAACAAGAAATATATAGTAATACTACAAAGTTCTTCAGTTAAATTCATACTGTGGAGATGCATGTTATAGTATTATAGTATTATAGTATATATATAGCTAAGTATTTATTAAGAATTTTGTAAAGAAATAATGACTAAATAATCATAATTGCACTTCCAAACATGTTTATGTAGAAATTTTAAGCAATAATTACGCATCTAACTTTGCACAATCTTATCAGATGACTGGATCAAATGAATTTAAGCTGAACCAACCTCCAGAAGATGGAATCTCATCAGTGAAATTCAATCCAAACACATCTCAGTTTTTGCTTGTTTCTTCTTGGGACACATCTGTTCGATTGTATGATGTTCCTGCCAACACCATGAGACTCAAGTATCAACACACTGGAGCAGTACTTGACTGTGCTTTTTATGTAAGTTTTTTTTCTTCTTATGTTTTGAAATTTGAAAGTACCAAGAAAACACAAAGGAAATACTTAGTTCATCTAATAGATGATTAGAACTTTGGGCTGGACAGTATTCGGAAACATGTGTTAGCATTTTGCACATATGTGGACTTTTTTGCTCTTCCTTTCTAGAAATAATCTGTATTATCACCAAAAATCTTGCATTTCTACATGGGCTATTCTTTATCCAGGCCTTCAATTAACTGGTGAAAATATGAATTAAGTGTGTTATGTATTGGTATAATTCCTGGTGTTTTTCTTTATATATGCAATCTGCCATATTCAAATGAGTTTAGATATTTTACAATAATAAAAACAAACTTTTTTTTGTAATTTGGGAAACTGAAAAAAGGCAAGTTCTAGACTGATTATAAATAACAAAAGTGATCTTGTAAACTTGAAGATGGCAACTATCTAAAAGAGAACAAGGATGAAAAGTTGGAGGAGAAAAACAAAGTTCTTCCTATTAGTTGCCATAATATTCAACTGTAAAATTTTTTCTTGTTTCATTCTTAAAGTCTAGGCAGTAGGAAGAGTGAGTGTCACAATTTAAAAGGGCTAAAAGCTGAAATCTAGATCTGTTGCTGACTTTCTGCTTTACAGCCTAGTCGAATTACTGTTAACTAGTTGATAGTTGAGCAAGAACACAGTGCAGATTGTTTCTCAAAGGTGCTGGAATAATTTGTTCCCTTGTTCTTTAATTGTGTAGCAAGTTGGAATGGTTGTTGCTAGATGACTGTTGAAAGATGATGTTTTAATAAGGATAATGGAATAGCTTTATTTCCACTCTTCTCTTTTATTTTGCATCTTAGAGTGGCTCTCAGATAATTGGTTGGCTGTATTGAGAATTTTGAAATAAGTCAATATACAATTAAGTAAATCAAAATAAAATTGAATTAACGACAGGTAACTAGTCAAAATTGGCCTGGTCACAATTGTTAATTCTAAATAGGAAATCATTTTTATGTCACTTTTCATAATCATTCTTTCATATAATTGCTGCATCTTAGGTTAAGTTTAATTATTATTATTTTTTGCATATCTTGATACATACAAAGCCATCTTAGCCCATGGGAGGAAAATCTCCAAAATGTGGCTTGATGATACTTTATTAGAAGTAGCCCAAATTACATAAATAGTGGGTAGTTTTTTTAAGTTTTTCAGAACCTTTAATCAGGCAATGTGCTATATCAGTAAGGTGGGAGAAAGCAAAACAGTTCAAAACTTTGATAGAGCCAAAGCCGTGAGATCTGTAGGTCATAATCCTAAAATGATGACTCTGACATAAAGATTGGTAGACCTTAATCAATTAATATGTTGACAAATGTGTTGAATGAGAACTTACGTTTTAATCTTTATTTTTGCAATGTGTTTCAGCTACTGATTGAAAATAAACTTATCTCTAGTAAGTCCAAGGTACTGAAACTGAGTTGAGTTACTGTTCCTTCCTCATATACTTTGAAGATCCTGCATAACTTTCCTGATGTTTTCTGCTTATGTGTCTTTTTGGCATTACCATAAAATAACACAGGAACCAAATCACAATAATTAGAGAGCAAGTATATCACCAGAACCCCAAAGTATGCAACATTTATAAGCCTTACAGCTTTATATGTGACATTGGAGGGAAAAGTAGCTTTTACTATGTTTATTCTGCAATTATAGAACCTGTAAATAACTTTGTTTTGAAGGACCCTACACATGCCTGGAGTGGAGGATTAGATCGGCAGCTGAAAATGCATGACTTGAACACTGATCAAGGTAAAACTAACCTGATAGCGTCATAGAGTTTGCAGACAGAAAACATATCAGGCTTCAATAGTTGAATCAGGAGGGGAGCCATCCATGACTTATTATCTGAGAATAAACTTCCATACAGTCCTTATTTCTGAGTCAACATATGGGACTTCAATATAATTCAACAAAATAGAAAAATCTGGTCAAATTTCATAAATTATTGCTTTAGATGCTTTTGAAAGAAAATGTTTTATTTCTTCTCTATGAAACCAGCTGCGGTGTATTTTTTTTTATTTAAACACTGTGTTATTCATTTATCTAACATGGGGCAGTGACAACCAATATTATCTCTGTAACTGTAGACAGTGATTGTTTTGCTTATTCTCTCTTTTCTAGGTTGTATTCACAGCAATTTAATGTCATAGGCTTCCTTCTCACAATATTCTCTTTGCTGAGATTGTGGGAAATAGGTATTCATTGATCTATAAATTATTGGAGCACCATGCCAATGTGTACTTCAGTATTTGACAGATACTGCCAAATTATGTTAAATTGTTCCTGAAGCGTCTTTCAGCTAAAACAAAGAGGAACTTTGAAAGATTTTTTTTAAAGTGGATTTTATGTATTTGGTTGACTTTTTCTTTGAAAAATTTTCATGAGAGATTTTCTCAGAAGAAAGCCGCTTACTAAGTGTCTGATACCTGAGTAGAGTATATAATTGCAAAATATTAAACTCCTCATTATTTTAAAAACTGATTATTTTTAACTTTTGTTATTGCGAACTATGTGAACTATGATCAGGCACTTAGATATTGGAAGCAGACGAGCTGAATGAAATGAGATCCTTATAACATAAATAAATAAGAACTTTGCATAAGAGTGTTTGCATAAATTGACGGTATTGGAAAGCTCAGGCGTAACTTTGAAGGAAAAAGCTATTAAAGCGATAAAAGATTTTAAACTAAAAATTGTATTAAACATCCCGATAAAAGCTTCTAAACAGTTTAATACTATTATGTTGATAAATTGAATAGTAATATAGGAAGAAGGAGTTTATTGACAACGGTTTGTTGAAATTGTTTTGTATCTTAAATAGCGGCAAAGGCATGCACTAATGTGGTCATGCGGCATTCACCAGTTATTAGATCTTCCTGGTAAGCTGTTCATGACTAGAATTTTCAGTTGCATCCAGCAGTTAGGTGCGTAAATCTCTCTTATTCATTTGAAAATCTCTGCATGGGCACCAATTTCCCTGCTAAGCTTCTTTGAAATAGTGAGTTGATACCTATTAGTCTACATTTAACACTTCAGGAGTGTATATCTGTTGTAAAGATTAGAGGATCAAACATTCCTTAAAGGATGCCCCAGCAGCTATATAGATTAATGAATGGCTGGTCAAACCGTGATACTTATGCGTGAATATCGCCTTAATCTTTTTATTACATTTCACTATCCCTGTATCTAGTAAAGCTAAATGCATTATTTTTTTTTTTTCAAACAGAAAATCTTGTTGGCAGTCATGATGCTCCTATAAGATGTGTTGAATATTGTCCAGAAGTGAATGTAATGGTAACAGGAAGTTGGGATCAAACAGTCAAGTTATGGGATCCAAGAACACCTTGTAATGCCGGAACATTTTCTCAGCCTGAAAAGGTTTGTCCTGGTTATTTAGAGTGCTATACATCATTTCAATATGGATTAATTCTACTGATTACTGTAGATACATATCAATAAACATACAATTGCATAGTGAGTTAAAATTAATGTGTACAACAGAGATGTGCAAAACTTTTCTGTGAATGGAACATTTACAGAACAACATATCTGGATGTTCCAAATTAATATGATCAGCAGGAAAAATAGAATGCTCAATATTCTCAAGACTTTTCCCGTGGAACAGTAAGATTTGCATGCAACTAAAATATATTTGAGCAATTAAATGTTAATATCTCCCATATTAGGTCATTGTTTTGGGATTATACATTATGAAATCTCCTTTTCCTATTCAGGAGAAAAATGGTGGGAGAAAACTGGAGATTTACCCTTGGTTAAAGTGCTTATTTGTATGTTTGTTCTGTCTTTGAGTCAGACTTGATCCCTGGTAAATGGAAAAAAAAATCAATGCAGTTCTTTAGGTAGCACTTTTAGAAGTTACTTCGTAAGTCTGAGAGGGAGAGACTGGTCTAAGATCACCCAGCTGGCTTTTACAATTTCCTTGTTCCTACTCCAACATCTTAATCAGTAGACCAAACAGGGTCTCTTAAGGTGTTCTAATCAGCTTTAAAATGTCAGATATAACAAAAGTCATGGTTTAATTAAATTTCCATTCCTGAGTGCTAAATTGTACTTTTTCTATTCTTAAAGAAATTAGTTTGTGTAAACCAGTAATATAGTTAGTTAGCCAAGGTATAATATTCAGCATAAAAGTATTTTTTATATACAATATGAACTGAATACTTATTTCTTAGTCACTTAGTTAAGTCCTTATCAGAATTTTGCCTAGGATTCCTTAGGGGTTGGTTATCACATACTTGTTTCAATTTCACATGAACCACTGAGAAAAATCATCTGTCAATTCTGGGTCTGTCATCACAAGTAAACTATTAAAGGTGTGGTAAAACTTGAGCTTGTATGAAATTGTTTATATGTGGCTGTAATATAGGTTTTTTTTTGGCTCTATTAATTGGAGCAAGTCTTAATTTGTTGCTCTTGGGAACTACTGTATATGTTATTGTATGAGATTAGGATTAGATATTTCATTTAAATAGATACAATTAATTTGAACATTTCTATGGTAGTATAAATGCCGTAGAATATCCTTGGCCAAATTTATCTTTTATCTTAACATTTATATTTTTATTAGAATGAGACTTATGACTACAGGTAGTCCTCAATTTAAAACAGTTATTTAGTGACCGTTCAAAGTTAACTAAAAAAAGTGACTTAACAACCATTTTTCACATGACGGTTGCAGCATCCCCATGGTTGTGTGATCAAAATTCGGACACTTGGCAAATAGTTCACCTTTAAGATGGTTGCGGGTGTCCCAGGATTATGTAAGCACCTTTTGTGACCCTCTGATAAGTCAGTGGGAAGCCAGATTCACTTAACAATCATGTTAACTAACTTAACAAATGGAACGATTCACTTAACAATTGTTGCAAGAAAGATCATAAAATGTGGCAAACTTCACTTAACAAACGTCTCACTTAGCAACATAAATTTTGGGCTCCATTGTTCTTTGGGCCTATTTGGAAAGCACATTTGTTTAACATCTTTGAAATGCTGGCAAGTGTTTGATTCTTGGTATATTGAACTTTAGCAGCCCATATACTAAAATTAGGTATACTAATGCAAAATTTGCATCCTTTTGTTCAAGGTATATACATTATCTGTATCTGGTGACAGATTGATAGTGGGAACAGCTGGTCGAAGAGTTCTCGTGTGGGACTTACGGAACATGGGCTATGTTCAGCAGAGAAGAGAATCAAGTCTTAAATATCAGACCCGTTGCATCAGGGCATTTCCCAACAAACAGGTATTTAACTTGTATAGCAATATTTCATATTTAAGCTTGTTAAATGAAACATACTGTTGTTACTTCAGCTGTCTCCTGGCTTATTGAAATTTCCAAATTTTGCTATTTTTCTTTGGGTTCGTATGTGTCTAGACATGCCCGGAGTTGTTTTGAAATTAGTCAGTCTAGAAATTTGATGAATCGATTATAGTGTATGGGAATTCAGTTCAATGTACAGAAAATATTGCAACAGTATCATGTTTAGTATGGTTTTATTTTCCTAAAAGTTAGGCTTTCAGAAAATACATAAAACTACTTTCTTAAGCGCCCTTTCTAGATTGGCTTTTTCCTGGACCTGTCAACACTATGAAGAAAATAAACTTTGAAACAAGAGAGTCTTTATTTTGGTTACTGTACCATTATTTTTGATGGGATTCAGTGTAGCATCTAATCATTATTTTCTATTCTTGTGGTAGAAGAAAAAAGGAAACAAATTATCCTTTTGATTAAAAAATAGTAAGCAGTCCTAGAAGTAGATTTCTTTTTTAACACAGTGAAGGCATTAATTTTATCTATTATTTGTGGGCAAATACATTCCCTAATGAAGTCTTTGGGATGGCTTTTCATTTCTGAAAAGGTGTTGGGATATATTTTTGTTTCCAAGATTTCTGAATTAATCTTTCTCAGTAGACGTGAAGTAGGAAGTTATCTCCATCTTTGGAATCTTTTATTTCACAGGATACGTACATGATTCATTTTGAAGTGCACAGATGTAGGATGTGATAGAAGTATTTGCACAAAAGAAAACTTTACTAGTTGTTTGTGACAATAACTAAAGGATTGCTATGTGTTCAATAGGGCTATGTGTTAAGCTCCATAGAAGGCCGGGTTGCAGTTGAATATTTGGACCCAAGTTTGGAGGTGCAGAAGAAAAAATATGCTTTCAAATGCCACAGATTGAAGGAGAATAACATTGAGCAGATTTACCCCGTCAATGCCATCTCTTTTCATAATGTCCATAACACATTTGCTACAGGTAATTATTTTCTTATTGTATCACTGATAGTAGATATTCAGATCTAATTTGTATGGATAGTGATCCTGGTTTCATATGCAACATTGCATCAATTTTATTATTTATTTGGTGGCTAAGCAGCATACACAGGTTTATATTTATTTTTCTTCCAGAACAACTGCTCTGTTCAGCAATTTGATTTGTCCAGAGTTATGCAATGAATTTTTATGTCTGAGGGATGGCTTAGAACTTGGATTCTCCAGCAAGCCCTGAACCATTTTATGATCTTTGTATAGAAAATAGGATATTGTGAAGTCTTGGGCCATTATTTAGCCCCTGAAGTTCTTTTAATTGGCCATAACTGCAGTTCCTGAACATTTGCAACATGTTAAATTGAGGGGGGAAAGTACAGAGTGTAATGCCATTTGAACTAATTGAGTTGCACTGATTTCAGATTGTTGGGCTTGTTTCTTTTCTGATTTTTTGTTCTCTTATAGATAAAATTGATAAAATCTTTTGCACTAACCTTAAAAATCTGTACTAAGGTTACAGAAGAATGTAAAATTTGTTCCTAATAACTCCCTTCTTACACATCTATTTGTAGGTGGCTCTGATGGCTTTGTCAATATTTGGGATCCGTTCAACAAAAAAAGACTCTGCCAATTTCATCGGTACCCTACCAGTATAGCTTCACTAGCTTTCAGTAATGATGGGACTACTCTTGCAATAGCATCCTCATATATGTATGAAATGGATGACATTGAACATCCTGAAGATGGTATCTACATTCGCCAAGTGACTGATGCAGAAACAAAACCCAAGTAAGTATGCTCCACCCATACTTGAATTCCTCTAAGTGCTTATTCCAGGATTGATTATTTTTCTTAATTCATGCATAGCATTGTTGATTACTGTGGAAAGTACATTTTCACCATAAGACTGGAATTGATTTTATCTTCTGTCCACACTCTTGATATCTGTAGACTATTAGGTAACTGAGGGATAAAATTATCTATTTGTTTTAGCGAAGGAGATCAAAATTTCTTTCTTTCTGAATGAACTATTATACAAAACTGTACTATTTCTGGCTTATTGCTTTCAAATGAAGCTGAAGAAGCAAAGATCACCACTACGAGCAAAACTAATTATGTAGGATTTCAAACTATTGACTGTCATTTTTGCATGTAGGTCAGCTCTTAACTTTAAAATGTTGAGCTTGAATTAGATACAGCAGTTGCGTAAATTACATACACAACACAAAATGTTTAAATCCTTTGATATCCAAAATTATGCCACAACTGGTAACACAGACAAAATGGGGAGGTGCACAGACTTCATATATGTACTCTCAAACTAAATATATTGTGAGGTTTTTTTTCATCATCAGTGCTATTTAGTTATATTGTTTCTAGTGTATATTAAAATAAGAAAATGCATTGCATATGCTTGTAAGCTTTGAAAATAGGTTACTGATTACCGTCAATAGTCCACAAGTGTCTCACTGCCATTGGCATATGGACTTTTGGAAGGAAAGGTAGGGCAGGTATGGACATAAAATTGGCTGAATGCCTGTAGGAAAGCTAAATCTCTTAATATAAAACCGGAACATTATATTATTATATTAGAAAAAAGAGAAGGACGTGCAGTTTGCAATTTAGAGCTTTTGTTTGAATAAGATTGCATTTTTGTTTGGCCTTTTTATTATTTTGAATTCTTGTGAATTGGGAAAGCTTTGAGTCATCTTCCTAAACTCTGCCTGTTGAAGAGACTGTGAATCACATTGTATTTTTTTGCTCATTAAAACTTGTAATTGGATCAAAAGTATCTCACAGTCTGGTAATCTGAAATTTAACCCGATTACTGCATTTTGAGATAAAATTTATGGAAGGCTATTACAGTGATATTTCCAAAATCAATTAGTTCAATTGGAGTGATGCAAATCACTCAAGCAAAAGAACTAGAATTATGAAGAATGTCTAGATTTCAAGGATTATTTATTTATTTCACTTATAAAATGCATTATGTTTACCCCCCCCCAACCCCCCCCCTCCAAATATAAAATCCTAAACCCCATTCCTAAGGGCAATAAAAGATTGAAGTAATGACATTTCCATAGGTTAATATAAAACTTCATGGTGTCTTGGAATTCAGTACTATGTACATTTGTTTCACTTAGCTATATGATCTGCTTCAAGCATGTATATAAGTAACATTGCATTCACATTCTTCCAGAACTCTCTTAAAGCAGCAGCACATCACCTTACAATGAAGCCAGTAAATGTTCATTACATTACATTACATTACATTCTTAACATATTCAGATATTCAATCTGTGTAGAGAGACCCCAATAAAAGGTTTTAATATTTTAGGGGTAACATTGAATAATAATAATATATATATTTTGGCGAACATTTGTTGCTGTGCTTGGATGTATTGTTTAAAAATACTATCAAAAATAATAGAGACAGCATTCCAAAACAGCACTGTAGCAATAGCACTTAGACTTGCTGTATTTTATATGTCAATCATAATAATTTTAAATTTCATATTTTTAGTCAGTTTCTTTATTTTTGTCTATGATCTGTTATGCTTTGCATAGAGTGCAAAAAAAATCAGCTTAGTGCAAATTGTTTTCACTTAATCATACCCTTTTTCTTATGGATGTGTTCCTGTAAATTATTTACATTGCGAGAATTTAACATGGGAAACTCTCTTAGTGGAGTGAAGACAACCATATGACTTTACATTCAGCTGTTTCGATACTTGTGTTGTGCTTGCTAATTATAGGGATGCTTCATTCTACTTTTCGAGGAGGTTAATCTGCAATTAAACAATATTTCCTCTTAGCTGTCCATTATTTTCTGAAACAGATGGTTCATCATTTCCTGGGCTGTTAAAAACAGCAAGGTTAAGGTTAGACTCTTGGGAGTTGGTTAGTTTTGAATCTTATTACAGGATGTAGAAGCAAAACTAATAAGAATAGCACTTAATATCATTTTGTGGCTGCAAACAATTATTTATTAGTAAACAATTGATCCCAGAAGGGCAAATTGCTTGAATCGGTAATGAGCTGAGACAAGGCAGAGCATTCTGTATCTGTTTATTTGCAAAATAATTGTAACATAATTGCAATGCATTTAGACAGGCATCTATTTGGACTTGTTTCTCTCTATAAATGAATTTCTGAAAGTTTAATTTATTTTTCTACATGTTTATTCCTTTCTTCAGCCAGATGCAATAGAAATTTCATAGTGATTCAGTACAATAAACACATTCAATAATAAAATTGATAATAGCTCCTGACTTAACTTTTTCTATTACCATTTCTAAAATTCTTAATAATGATTCTGTTTTGATGTATTTTGAAAAACAAGGAAACATTAAATCTTCTTGGGATTTTGTAAAGGTTTGCTGCTTTAGAAAGTTAAAAATTTATTTAGAACAATACAGAAATGCAAATACATGTCTAAAATCTCTTTCTTTATTGCAGGTCAACTTGATCTTGATCAGAAACTTCTAGCAAAACAAACTAATCCTTTGATTAAAAGAAGATGTTTCAGTGTTGTTGTCATAATGTTTTCATTGGGTATATTGTAAATCTTTTTTAAAAAACATAGCCAAGAATTGTTAATTTTTGTTCACCTGATTTTGAAATATTTCTTTAAGCCAGTTAATTCTTTTGAAATGTGACAGTTGAATTTTTGTATAGATTAATGGTGGCCTAATTGTTTGAATAAATATTTTCAACCCTCTCTCTCTCGCTCTCTCTCCCCCCCCCCCCTATCCTAAAAGTCCTACTTTTAACTGCAGTGGTGGTAAACATTAAATCCTGAATTTAATAATGACATCGTTTTTGATGTACTGGGCTTGTACTTCAGCAACAACAATACGATAAAGAAAACATTTTGACTTTTTTCAAGCAACTTAAATTTAATGGCTGTAACTCTAACCCTTCCCTGTTTATTTTTTTTAATTGTAATTAAGTTCTGTGGTCAGCAGGTTTACGAAAGTATGTCCTGCAGATTTAAGGAATTTATAGAATAAATTGAAGTTTTATGGTTATAGTTAATAATCAGTGTCTACTTTTGAAATTTGATTCCTTGGAAAAAACTATATTTTGTCTTTAACAAGCACCCCAGTTCCACAACAGATATTTCTATCAGATAAAAACAATTGTTTCTACAAATGTGTTGTTACTTGCAGAATATTAATTTGAAATATAATAAATTCAGGATAGAATTGTAAGTTCTATATGGCTAAAATTTAAAATATGTAGATTTTCTTAACTCTTGAAACAATTTTCATTTACAACTGGAATTAAATACTGATGGCAATAAAATATGCAATTAAAAAAAGTGAAGAGATTGCTAAGAATATTGATCGATAGAATCTATGTGAAAATTTTGATAAATAATTATTTGTAGATCCCAAATTGTGCCGCCTTTGAAACTTTTCCTAAAATTTTATTTTTTGGGGAGGAAGCTTTGGATATTTCCTTTTGTTACTTAAACTTTATTAATCTGATTTTAGGATGTATTTTTCAGTTTTTATTTCCCCCCTCAAAATGTTTTCAGATTACATTAGTGGTTTTTAGAGGGGCATTTTTGATGATAAAGTTTGTTCACCTTTGTTCTAGAATTAGTAATAGTTTACATAGTTATAGAACAGGTTTGGTATCTGTGTTTATTAGTAATCTTTACCACAACATTGGATCATCTGATTATCTTTCTGTAATTGTCCCAATACCCTAATGGTTAGTCTCTGTCTTGGCTGTGCGATTCAGATATTCCTGAAAACATATTTCAAGAATAAGTATCAATTATTCTGTTTCCATTAAAAAAAAGTTATCAGTATATCATACTTCAGCCTGTTAAGTCACATTTAGCTTTGTTCCAGCTGTAGTCTGTCTAGATGGTCTTCAGATTAATGAAGTAGAAATGTATTGCTTCAGAGCAATGAAATCTTAGTAGTAAGGGTTATTTTTGAAATAGAAAGCCTTTCCATTTTATTCCCTTATGAGTCATGAAAATTAATGCATTCCATTTTTTCAGCCATTTGCTATTGCCACAATTCACAGCCTTTGAAAATGATTCTGAAACTGTCAACCGATCAAAGTACTCTGCTATAATACTAAACTATAGCATTAGTACTAGATATTATAGGAGGCTTATACAGGGCCTGTTGCAATCTTTTATACCTTCACTAGGCGCACAACAGAAGGCCAAAATAAGTGTAGGTGAGGCAAAGAAAAATTCAAACAAAGTGATACAAATATATTGGAGAATTTAAAGGTGCTGAGCCAATAAAATGCCAGTGAAATTCAAATAGCAGAGAAATTGGAAATAGGAGAATGTGGGTTAGACGTTGATCTATATATCAGATGCCAATACACATAAAAGCTCAGTCACCAAACCAAATAAGTGTGTTTTCAGTAGTTAGTTTTTTCTGACTAGTATCCATAGCCTCATTTATTACCGGCTCAATAGTGGAGGTGTTATGCAAATGGAAATTTGTAAGTACTATAGCAAAGAGGTCTGGTAAGACAGTGGATAGATAGTTCTGTTAGTAAAACAGTTGCATATGCATATACGTATACGTGAGGCATTCTTTGTATGAAGAAACAATTCATCTTTTTATTCTCTGAACTTATGAGGGCACAATTTACTGTTGTGTAATACACAGTAATCTTGCTTTTTGCTGTATGAGATAAGGCAAAATGATTCCTAGCAGTGTAACTGAGCTCTACAAAGCTTTTTTAAATGATAGCCTTTTGCTGAAGATTAGAGAGCTTTCCAGAACATAGAATCATACTGACCATTCTAATATTCCTTCCATCATCCCAGGCTGCACACAGGTAAAAATGTTACAAGATGTCTCTGAAAAGACTATCACATTGTCTTTATCTGTATATTTGTATCCTAAATGCTGTGCTGCCACATTTCAACAAATAGATATTCTGATGAATTAATTAGGATAATTTTAATATGTGTAAAATTTATACCCTAAACCCATTGAATACAGTCTTCTAAAGAAGGAAGGTTAGGTTAACAATGTAAACAGCTTCTTTTTCTTACAATGTTATGAATTTATATTTTGTACCTAGTCTGGCTTAAATATATTAATGGTCAAATTCCGTAGAATTTGGAAGCATATTAAAATAAATACTTGAATCTGTTTATTGTAAAGCTGTGCTGAAAATGCAGTGTGTTTTCAAAGACTTAGATTTTATGGACAAGAAAGCATGGGAACCAATGCAGATGTATTTATTTATCTAATTTATATAGCTGCCCATCTCACAGGCAAGTGACTCTTCATTTTTATATCGTACCACTACTTTTATGCCAATTGCTCAAATTTTTTTTCTCCTATCCTTTTGCACAAAATTTTAAATGATTCATAAATGAAGTTTAAATGTGAATGTCCTTGTTTAAATCAAGGGTCAAGCAACATTTCAGATTTTTGCCATTCACCAATCACTTATAACAGTGGTGGCGAACCTATGGCATGCGTGCCAGAGGCGGCACTCGAAGCCCTCTCTGTGGGCACACGTGCTGTTGCCCCAGTCTCGCCTCTCCCCATGACCCCCTTCTCACCAGCAGGCCCCCTGGAGGAGAGTCGCCCCCGAGCATGGCCCACATGGAGCAGCACAGCCAAAGATATGGCATCCAAGCAGCGTAGACAAGACTCTGCCCGCACGCCCCATCCCGCACAGTTGATGCTGTGGGGCGCGGGCAGAAGGCGTGGCTGCCATGACGCTGCTGGGCTGCCTGGGTGATCTGTGGCGGGCCCTGGAGGTGGTGACTGGCCCTGCGGGCAGGTGGGGTGGGGGACGGGGTGAGGGGGCAGGGGCTGGAGTGGGGGCAGGGCCAGTTTTTCTGCACTTGGTCTCTAAAAGGTTCGCCATCACTGACTTAGAATCTTTGATATTTTCTCATGATCTTTTAAAGAAGATTATAGCGATTCTTTAATATTTTCTTTACATTTCACTTAATTATTACATTTCTTAACTTATTTAATTTGGGTGCTAGGAACACAACATTTGGAAGTTGATGTACAAGCGTGATAGTCACGACCGTCATGTCACACCAAGTTGTCTGTCTGTCTATCTCTGTCTCTGTCTCTCTCATCTGTCAATCCATGAATATGCAAATTTAAATTGCATTTATTTGGTATAACCATAGCACTCAGCACTCAGTTCAGTTCGACTACTGTTTTTCCCTTGTGTATGCATACCATAGTTGTAATTTTGTATCTGTGGCATCCATTGTGCATAACAAAACCAAGAAGTATTTGTTTTATGATTGGTTTTTATTCTTGGGTATTTTGCATGGATAAAATCTTCCCTCCCTCTCAGTACTTTGCCATTATGTTACAAATTTATGTTGTTTGATCTGTCCACTGCCTTTGCCACAACCATCAGTTAGCTTGCTAACTTCATTGCCTTTTTGCTTCCGCAGTGGTAGGGCAATATTTTCTCTGAGATACTTTAGCTGATGTTCACATATGGTACATTTGCTTTAATTATTTAATTGGTATTCACCTTATAAGCTTTTGGAAAGCAAATCATTTATACTTAAGATGGTGCAATATAACTACGCAAATCTTAGGGAAGTGGAAGACCTAATATTTAAATAATTTTTAAGGCCCCAGGTTATTTTAAAATGCCATCTAGAGTTTACTTTTAAAAAAATCCACTGAAAAAGAAAAAAAAAACAGTACAGCTAAAATTCTCAAATTCTAACTCCACCCTCCATAAATAAGGAAAGAACCCTTACTTTCAGAACAAATACTATAAGATTTCAAAGAGCAGTTCTATACATAATATAAATATGTATATGTTTTTAGATTGGAGATTAGTACATAACCCATCTTAAAAAGTGTGCTACTGGTAGTTGTAATTTATATTCAGTTATGTATCAAAAATCAATGTACATCTACATGTGTACATTAGCAGTTCCTCGAAATATGCACATTGTTGCAAGCACATTTTCCAAACCTTATTTTTGATGGTTGCTGTCATACTGTGTTTTTGAGGACTTCTTGATTTCTATCAGCAGCTTTTTCATTCGTGAGTCAGGTGTCATGACAAATTGGGAATGAACCGTATGGAATCCTCCATTTCTTGTGGATATGCAGTACTCAGTCTTGTGAGAAATACTATGCAGACATCCCTCATGTCATGTTCTCTTTTATGTCACCACTAAGACAACTGGAGAAGGATTTAAATTTTTTCTCCCAACCTTTGCCAGGAGTTCAGATCAAGAATGATCTCTGCCATGTTTAGGAAGGAGAAAAAGGGATTGTCGCTGCTTTGTAATTGCTGACAGAAAACAAGAGCAAAGCAAAATATTCAAGTCTTTCCCATCTACTACCATCTCTATAAGGACTTTACTGATCATTTTTTTTCTTCACTGTCCAGTGGGTAGCTAATCAATTGAATGGTGAGGAATTCTGGACAAAAAATGTAATTTTTCCGGCAGGTTTGGGTGTCTGGTAGAGACGGAATCTGCAGTGTAGATGGGCCATTCTCCCAGTCTTATTTTTATTTATGTGTATTATGTATAATTTAATTGTTTCTAATGGTTATTTTAAACTCAATTATTAATTGTTTTATTGTAGACTCATGTGAGATTGGTGGCTAGGTAAATATGATTGATTATCTATACCTGTTGAAAATAAAAAAAAAACAAATTCTTATCATGTGATATAAACTGGGCAAAACAAAAATGTTGAACTGAACAGAAGCATCTATTTTATCAAAGCATTGTGGTATTTGGTTTTTCTTAACTATAGTTCTTAATTTCAAAAACAAAAGTGCACCTGAAATTTCTGATTTGGATATAATTAAATCATTTCCCCAGCCCTCTAATGTCCTTAATCAACCCCAAAGAAGTATAAATTATTAAACATCTTTTTGGGATTAAATTTTTATTCCTAATTACACACAAAAGATATATATCATAAAATATTCATCACATAATCGTGATTTAAAATGTACAGTCTCCCAAAAGATGTGATTAGCAATTTTAAACACCCAAAACTTAATTAAGTAGGTAATGGATGAGAACTGAGACTTTTAAGAGGGGGACTTTTAATTTTTTTAAAGGTTTTATCACTAGGTCTAGGGACTACCTAGTAAGAAATACAATCAAATTTAAGGTGGCATGCATTGCTTTGGAATTCAGAAAAAAACCCCACTATTAAAAAATCTTTTCCTGTGGACAAATTTAATTCTATCTTTTATATGAGTTTTTAAAAGTATGTTGTGTCATCTTGTAGAGATTCCTTGGTATATATCAATGTTCTCATAATTTTCTCAGTTTCAAGTCCTACTTGCTATATGGTTCCTTATGTTTGTACCACAACAAAAGCAGTCTAGTTAAGCTGCTCAGAATCTTTGCAAATTTCCTTTTCTACATGATAACTGGAAAGTTCAAAATTCTCAGCCTAGTTCAATTAGTTATTAGTAGAACTACTGGAGCATTCATGTGACAGTCAAAATAGTCAAGATGACAGCCACAATCATGGAATCAAAGCCTTGCCTCCTTTCATAGATCCGGATGCATATTAAAAAGGGCAGGGCTTTGACTGCATGTTGTGACTACTATCTTGACATTTTCATCCCTCTGCAGATACCCCTTGGAATTATACAAATGTAACCTTATCATAAAATCAGTAGTAATGCCAATCCAATTAATAAAATAGGAGCAGGATACCGATGGTTTTCATTTAATGTCATTGCTTGTTCAGCCCCTATTCAAACTTACGATGGCGCTAAACGAGCGGTATGACCAGACATGGGCACATGATTGTAATTTGCTACCTTCCCTGTCGGTCTTCTCCAAGGAGGAAGCCAGCAGGAAGCCAGAAGTTACAGTCATGTGAGGTCCTTGCTTAACAATTTCTACGGTCTTCTTTAATAATGACAATTGGGACTGCCGGAGCTGCCGTCTCTAAGTGGTGCAGTCACATGATTTTTTTTTTTGCCTTATGAACAGGTATACTCAAGGTCAAATGCTGAATTAGATGGAAGGGTTCTTAGCTGAGAAAAGACAGGTGTCCTTATGTTGCTGGTTTTGTTGAAATGAGGATAATTCTTTGAGTAACAAAAAGGAAATATAGGTATTTTTTTTACTCTTACTGACTGAATAAATTAATAACTAACTAAAGGGCCCAGTATTTGGCTCTCCTGTCCATCTATCTGTTCATCATTAGGATAACTGTGTGAAAACAGACCAGGATTGACCCCTTATGGCAGGGGTGTCAAACTGCCGGCCTGCGGGCCAGTTGCATCATGCAGAGGCTGCGCCCACCCCAGCTCTGGCAATGCAAAAAAAGTCGTGATATGCCGCGACACATGACATGTTGCGGCGAGTTTGACACCTGTGCCCTATGGCATTGGGAAAGAAGCTGGGAGGGAAATACTACTGGTAGCATTAAAACTGGGTTGCATGCAGTCAGGAGTTTCAGAGAAAACATGATGCAAATATTTTTCCCTGATGCACCCTATGGGAAAAACAAGTGGGCATCAGCTTGGAATGTTGGAGATTTCTCTGTTTTTCTCACATGTGAGAAAAATATTATTATTGTGAGATGTAAAAGAATTCCTGGAGCCATGATCTGCCTGCTTTCTCAACCATGTTTGTCATCTTTGTTCTCATTGTGAGAATAATCCTGGTAGTGCAGTGGTTAGAATGCAATAATACAGGCTAACTCTACCCACTGCCAGCAGTTCAATCCTGACCGGCTCAAGGTTGACTCAGCCTTCCATCCTTCTGAGGTTAGTAAAATGAGGAGTCAGATTGTTGGGGTAAAAATGCTGACATTGTAAATCTCTTAAAGAATGCTATAAAGCACTATGAAGTGGTATATAAGACTAAGTGCTGTTGCTATTGTTCTCTATGCCCTGATCTTAAAATTCTGAGCACTGGACTAGATTCAGAAATGTCCTTTCTCTGACTGAATTTTATTTCAGCAATGAAATGAGGAACATAACTGAAATTCAGAGTCATTATTATAAGCTAAACTCTTTGAAAGCACTGTATTTTGATCCAATGTAAACTGACTTCAGGACCATTCACTTTATATTTAAAATAGGCTTTTTGTTGACATCTTTAAGCCTAATTTTAATTACTGACCTGCTCTACCTAAGCATGATACATAGAACATACATC